GCTTGCCCCATGTACATCTTGTGTGTATTGTGAGCTCACTTTAGACTCTAATGAATCGTTAGAAATTCCGACACTTGCGCGCATCGAATTTGCGCCACGCATCAGGGGCACGCATACCGTGTCACGGTATGCGTGACACTCACGCAAAGCATTCGTGCCCACTGAGTACCTAACTCAGCATTGCCATCGAAGAGATCGGGCTGATTATCAGCAAATAGGTGTTGGTCTCATTACTAAGACGATCAATCGTTAGACATTAGCTACAATCTCGGATACTTGGTTGCGTTCAGTCGAGAAGGTTACGCCGTTGCAGGCAGTTGTGCAGGTGCAAATCCTAACTCCGTGACGTCGTCACAGTGACGATTAAACTTGTGCACGCAGAGTTTTAAGGGCGAACGTGAATCCTCCGTGAGAATTGCACCACTTCCGTGAAAAAAATGAATCCACTCTCCACTATATAACCTCAGGATTTTCGTATATTCCCCAGGAGGGAGCTATTTTCTCTCCTGGGAGATATCCCTCCTGGATCACGTGAAAGTCTTGTCTCAGCATTCTCGTCTTTGCGTAGACTAAAAGAATGAAACTCTTCTGCGTCCTTTACATTATCGCGCTCGGCCACATCACTGTTGGTGACGACCTGTCTGACAAGTCGAAGAATAGGCCTCTCTCATCTTTGGTGGGCCTCGGTGGTCCTTGCTGGTTTTGCTGGTCGCCTTGTGAATGTGATGGCCATTGTGTATGTCCAAGGTAGCCCCCAAAGGGGCGGGTAGCCCCTTTACCCGCGACAAGTTATGAGAGGTTTACACCATGTGAATGGTTGTAGTTTTTCCGAGGAGTTTCAGCGAATGTCCTCGTTGGGGATAGGATTCTGGACGAGGTGTATCATCAGCAATTCAACTATTCTGGTCTACACTGTGGACTCCATTGATGATATGGATTGATGTTATGCCACTATTATCTCTCACATATTGATCTATTTCGTTTCATTTAGTCCGTATTTCCTCAATTCAGTCAACAACCTCCGAAGGCCTCTCAGTGACCCCATACCATTGAGTTTTCGAGCTCAGTGGTGGAACTTGGATTCACAAGAGTTGCCTAGTGCTCGCGTGAGCATTATGTTGTGATGATTTGTCCACGGAGATCAGTGTCATGTCTTTATGAATTTCAACTTGTGTTGGATATTTGATGATGGGTATTCCACCAACCGAGTTCCGAAACCGAGCGGGTAGATCTTTTATTCATTTGCCGTCAACGAACCCATAAAAGGCTCAGTTTCGTATCGCTTTGAAAGGGTAGTGTTCAAGAACAGTTGAGCATATCAGTCGGTGATAGTTCTACGGAATGTCATCTCGATCATCGAACGAGCTCCAAGTGAGAACCGACTCACTTCTAGTAGAGTCCACTCGAGTTGTTTGCTGCTCTGAGAGGATATGGTATGGGGGGCTGAGGAGGTCAACTACTTTCCAGCTATGACCTAGAGTCTAGGTCCTAGACCCAAGGTCGGAGACAAAGTGACACTACTCACTCTATCGACGACCGAGGTTTCCTCCAAACGAGCCCCACATCACCGTAGAATTTATATGATACAAGTTGTATCCTTTGATCAATTGAGGCGTGCACGACGTAGAGTGAAGGGTGGTCGATTACAACAGACTACACCCTGTTTGCCAGCTAGATTGCAGAGCGACTCCCTTTCGTTGTTATATGCTGAGCATATATGCAACCAAGCACATCAGGCTCTACGAAGTTCCAACTTGGAACTTCCAAA